AAATGACCTATCAAATTATATCATTTTTAAAAGAAATCAATCCTTAATTTCTACGCTTCCTGAATTCATACAAAACAAACATGGTGATCTTCAAGTCTGAATAAACATATTCAGGAGTACAGGGCGGTACACGCACATTTGTATGGTATATCTGATAAGAAGTATTTTCGCCAATCTTGATTTTTTTATCGTTATTTTTGAGAAGAAAAAAAACAAGTCGATAAATGCAAAAAATGGCTTATCCAAACTGGAAAACTGAAGCGGATTAATGTAACTATAGTGAAAATAAAATAAAACGAGGCCCCAATCATTTTACTATCGCGTAGAAAACTTTTTCACTGTGGCACTCCTACGCAATAAAAAGATTTGTAAGGAGCAACGTTTATCTTGTAATTGGTAACAGTAACAAATATAATTTTAACAGACATCTTTGTTGTCAATAACACATTCGAGCCAAAAAGGCTTTGTACCAGGAAGACTGGCACACTTTGAATTTCCGTGGAGATAATCGGTTCTTGATATATTTTTTGTATATGTGTCTTAATTATTCAGCATTTCATTTGTATGACTATTTTAGACTCACTCAGGTCTTTTTCATAATAATAATTTGAAAATGAAGGAGCAACGGTCAAAATTTTCCTTCTAAACGATGAAAATTAGAGGACGACTCGAAAATACTGAGATGCAGCACAGGAACTAGTGGAAAATATTCTTGAAATTAAATACCGTGCAACCCTGTTATAGTGTCTACCTGTATTAGCAACTTCCTGTCATATGCAACCGTTTATTTCCTCCTAGAGAATATTTCAATATATTTCAATATATTCTACCCTCATTTATCGACACCCTGTCTAACGCGACATGTATAACCAATTTTCATCCAAAGACAGTATAGGAAACTGAATTTAGCGTTTGATAACAAACGTAATAAAATATTTCGTTTACATATCATCTTTGACCCCACTTTGCAGAAACATTATTTTTAAGTGTGTGACTAGGTATCAAATAGAAAGTTATCGAAACGCGAAACATTTGAAATTATGAATTTACTTGAAATGGTTTTGAGAAGAATTGCTTACAGTTCATGTACATTTTTGCAAAAAATATATTAGCAAAATCTTATATAAAGATTGAAAAGAGCAATTTTGCAATAATAAATCTTTTAATTAGAGGGTAATTTATGTCTGTAATTGAAATTCACAAAATTACAAAAAAGTATGCTTAATTACATATTTCGTCTTTCCCAGATGGGAAGTGTTGATCATTTCCTTTATTAAGCATTTGTTCCACTATTATATATATGGTATCGTCAGCATAACTTTTATAACAATTACAGTAACAGTAATGAAGTGATTTCAATTCATTGCCAAATTTATTCATCATTTTTTATATGTTAGTAATCATATAAACCATTCTTTACCTTTTTTCAGCCACACATGCCTGCTTCCAATTTTACTTTCACATGAGAGGGGATGATATGGGTGATTTGAATATAACGGTGCAGGACACAAATTTTTCAGAAATTACTAGATGGTCAAAGTCGGGACATTATGGTTCCCGCTGGGACAAAGGCCATGTTTCTTTCCCATCCACTGCAGCTGTGGTATGTTTAGTAGAACAATGTTATAAAAATTACTGCATTTTTGTATTAAAATTGAAAAAAAATAAATTACTCAGGAGTTTAGGGATATAGATAAAGAGTTTTGTAGTTAGATATAGAAATTACTTTACGAGATGGAAAGAATTATTTAATATTTTCAAGAGTGCAAAACATTAGTTTAAAATAAAACTATGCCTCACGGGTGAAATGAATTCCATATCACTCTACAAAGTGACTGATCATGAGGACCTTTGAGCAGTGAGGGCTCCTTTTCGTGCTAGCACCTACTGCGGCATGGGACCTCGGTTTATAGGTATAATCCAAAGGACCGGTCTCCACGTCCCTCAGTGGGATTCAAATTCGCGACGTTAGGATTAACTCCTTACTCCGGGACGCTAGAGCAAACGTTCAAACCCCTTTCGCCATACGGACGACTGGTCGAATTCTTAAAAAACAAATGACTTAAAAATTGGTGGGAAACATATCACTCAAAATACAACCCAACGATGGGTTATTTTTGCAAACAAGGTTATAATAACGACCATAATATGGACGGAATAGTGACTTTATACGAGATAGTTTAAACCTTGTTACATTCACTTATTTCACCGTAGCCTGCCTCTGTGAAAAATTTGACCGTACCCAGGGGATGCTCTTTACTACTGAATCAGTTTCGGGATACATGCACATTTATATACACCAAATGCAGGTGATTATGGAATATAAATTTTTGAATAAGAAACGTTGACGATGGAAAAGCTGAAGCCAACCCATATAATATGAAGTTTAGTTTTTCGTTGGCCATTAAAGTATATTATCAGTTAGAAGCAGATGTGTTAGACAATGGTGTTCTTTATGCCGAATTCTCTAAAACTTAATACCAAAACTTCAATACCTTTATTGTGAATATCATGTTTATTTTTTTTTCAACAGTGTTATGTTTTTTTTCTTCTTCAGATAAATATAACTGGAATAAGAGGTGACGGCCATAATTCAGATTTAGCACTGGACGACTTCAAAATCTTTCAAGGACATTGTGGTAAGTGCTGTCAAACAGCTCATAGCTATATAGCTACAATTCAAGGGTACGACTTAATGATGCGAGCAATATATCTTTTACATTGTCAGGTAAATGATCATTTTCATGCTGTTTTGATTTTCAAATAAATGAATTAAATTATTTTACATGTCTTCAAGACTGCAATGAATGGAAATATGGATTGATGTGTGAAGAATCATGTGATTGCATAAGAAGAACATCTGAAGGGTGTAATAGTCAGACCGGAAGCTGTATTTGCCAGTCAGGATGGAGTGGGAAAACGTGTAATTGTAGGAGATCACCAGACAACTGTAACCCTGAATACTCTTATTGCAATGGAGACATGTGTTTATGTAAAGATGGCGTGTACGCTAACGGTGTTAATTGCTCTGGTAGGGGGACCGATAAATTTAAAATTTACAGTTCAATGTAATCAATAAAACCGTCACATCTTTAGATGTATATTTTTCATATATATGAATTGATTTTTTTTTTTTTTTTTTTTTTTGGAAATATATAATTTCTTGAAACCTTTAAATTGCTGCATAATCAGTGATATTCATTGTTTTCTAAAAAAAAAAGTAATTTTATAAAGTTTTGTATTGCGTTAAAAAATTGATTGAGCTATATAAATCAGGGATGGCAATTTGTAATCGGTTAACCAGTTACTCGGTCGGAACGATGGTAATCGGTTAAAAAATCTGTAATCGGTTAGTCGGAAAAAATTTTATATTTTTGTAAATTTGAATACAATTTCCCGAAAATTCTATTTAAAAAAATGAAATATTCTGAAATGTTACATGTAACATGTTCATCTATCTATTCAAGCGGATTCGGATATAATTAAGGCTATCCAAATTTACATCGCGTGGGGGTAATTGGTCACTTTTCGAGTCGTTAATTGCTGTTTAAACACATGTTGTTACATACCCTGTCCTGTGTTTATTTAATGATTTTAATTAAATGATCATTGACTACCGTGACCTGATTGTAAGGTGTATCTTACCTCTTCTGTCCTTTGAAGTTACCTTAAATTAATGAATTAATGAATTAAAAATTAATTCAGACTTAATTTAGATTATGGTGACAATGCAGAATGAACTTCCTTGACATCTTTTCTGAAAATTTTTAAAGCGTATGCAACTTCAGTTTAAAATTTAAATACAATATATGTAGTATTCTGATCATATATAAATATAAGCATAATATTCCTACATGAACATCTTTATAGTCTTACAGTTTACACTTTGGAGTTTAGCTATGTCGAGAATTTTTGATACGATTAACCGACTAATCGGTCGGAACGTTCTTGTGGTTAACCGATTGGCAATCCTGTTTTCGATTGCAATCCTTAATATAAATACAATAAATATTGATGTTACAAATGAAACTGTTGTAGGTATCGACGACATCATATATTTCTGTACATTTGCTATGGCAGACAGTGTCAGTCGATGCAACATTGAATTTTCGTCTATGCTTTGGGAGAATAAAAAGGTGGAGTCATATGCTTTTGCTAATAATAGTTAATATAGGACTAAACGTACTTTTTTGAGAATTTATGGATGTGTAAACTCATGCCTTTGTACTCACAGACTGAATAAAAGAACGTTTATTCTTTATAATTCCAATTACAAAATTTTAAAATTATTTCTCTTTGAAGCCTCCATACAATCCATTATTTCTGTACAGCGTAGGAATACTTTATGCCGCGATGTGAAAATGAAACGTAATCGAGATGAACATAGATAAAGTTGAACTTTAATTGTCAAAACATTAAATAAAATAAACTTATATAAACTCTTCGAATATTGCTGAAGTCAACAAATATGGTTAATACAAGTAGATTTCCAGAAGAATTCGTTCTTGACATTTAAGACAAACGCTTTTAAACAAAAGTAGCGTACAGACGACACCCTTGATTTGCTCTGGTTTGTTCAAAGACGAGACAGAATATAGGATATACTGCAGCAAGAGCTACGTTTCTCTTTCCTATCAGCGCTACCTAGAAAAGAGCTGATTTGTTTAGCATTAGGAACGGCGATAATATGCTATGACAGATTTTAATAAAAATTCACACTCGTGATCTGACAGTGACATAAACATACTGAGGATAATATTCCCGTCTGTCAGTCCTGTATATCCTCAGTTTTGTTTTTATTTAATTTCAAGTTTTAAGTTTCTGTTATCGTTTGGATAAAACAGATTAGAAGTAATGATTTGTTTCAAGTTTTTTTACGATAAAAGCTAGGTCAAGAAAGAAGTTCTGATTGAGAGATTTATCGATGTGTACACTTCTTGAAATAGTTTTCGTCCAATCAAAACAAAGGAAATCAATAAATAAAATTAAAATTGGAATTATACATGCAAATTTTCTTGTGCATAGACTTCTTCACAGATTCTTGAAATAAAAGTATCATTTTTCTATTTAAAATGAATTAATTAAAACAATCATATTTCTCAATTTTAAAGATCAAAATCTGTTCTTTGTAGGACAGTCCACAGCTGATAAATGATAGCCATCATCTGAACATCGGCAGTTATCTACGGACAAGGATCTCCCCTAAACGCACCATGTATTCATTCTCTCTCAAAAATGTAACTTTAAGTAAGTACAAATTCTCAATACGCTCTATTTAGGCTTAAAAATGTAACGTTTTGGAAGGTTAAAAATACTCATTTTGATCATTTGATACATACACCTGTAGAGAGAGACAGCTGTTTTCAACTGAGATATTTTACACGCGATCCAACAAAGCAAAGTCTACGAATTCAAGTGATAAGAGATGGGCGTTTGATAGGTAATAAGCTGTTTCAAGGAAGAGATTGGTCAACTGCCCGTGTCTCCATAAAGTCTTCACTGACTAAGGTACTTATATGTTTGAATACTGTCTCAAAGATAAATTAAAAATAAATGCTTTGAAGCTTGCTACTTGCTAATGAATGTTAATTAGGTATAATCATAAGACGTTTGCTAATGAATAAAAGGATAAGTTTTTTGTCTGTTTTTGTAGATTCTTGTCATAGTTTATGTCTACAACAATTTACCCGTGCTTATAGACGATATTATCATAACAGCTAAGACGTGTGGTAACATACTTTCTTCATGTTTTTAAATCAGGCATAATATCTTGATGACATATATATCATTTATTTTTTTGTCCCTTTGCTCATAGGTCTTCATCCTTCTTTTTCCCCTCTGATTAAGAACTTTAAATTTTCCTACTGTAAATGCCTGATAAGACATTTACTTTGTTATCCGGTTTTAATGTTTGCTTGGAAAATGTTATACATCAAGTACTCTGTTCATTAGTCTATGATTTCCACTTTCTTGACATCTCCGGATCCTTATTTGATCTTGATTAAAGAAAAGGTTTAATAAAGATAGACAAAAAAACTTCTTTTTCTAAATCAATTTATTAACTTTGTAAAGAATGGGGATGTCGATAAAGGAACATTTACTCGGTGCATTTCCTTATTCTAATCTAAAATGATAATTGTCCTTAAGCAAAACAACGATCACAAACAATTGTTCTTCCAACTCTGTATCTGGAAGATTTTCACTTTTTACAGGTGCTTGTCAACAATGGTACTATGGTTCGAATTGTGAGAAGATGTCAAAATGTAATCAAACAAATACTCTTTCATTTGACGCTAAAGATCATTGCAACTGCAAGCTAAATTGGTATGGTGAAAAATGTGATTGTTCCCAATCAGAAAACGATGCATGTATCAAACGGGGAGAGATCTGCACGGGAGGAGTTTGTTCTTGTGAGGACGGGTATATAAGAGCTGGCTTGGGTTGCAGAGGTATAGATGTCGTTTTTAATCGTCTGCATTTTAGTTTTATGTTGTCAATTCTCTGTTTTTTAAAATATTTTTTACAAAGTGAATTTGAAAGAGAGGGTCCCCTCTCTATAATTTGATATATATACATTCTATACTGGACAAAAAAAGTTTGGGATCATGATTTTGAATTGTTTTCCCAAAACAATTATAATATATTTTTTACATTATAGTTCAACCATACTTTCTTTAACATGTTATTGATAAGAAAATGCTACCTGTAGGGTCGTGCAAATCATGCCCAATTCATGCTTTACTGAATGCCGACACAGGGTGAAAAACAAAGTGATTCAGAGTATACACAAAGTTAACGAAATTGTTTATTTGAATACGTGTTTGAAGTTGTGGATATTTTTTGATGACCCTGTGACATTTCAAGGCATGAGATGTCACTTAATAATATACAGCGTTAAACACTTTAATTACTTTTTTCTCAACAGATATTGATGAATGCAAATCTTTATGCAGAGGCTCTCTGCAAACATGTGAAAATATGAACGGATCGTACTCGTGTGTTTGTAAAAAGGGCACTTTTGGTGATGGCACTATTTGCTCAGGTAACGCCTTTTGTTGGAAATTTCTATTGCAATTAGGTAGCAGATCCTTTGTCCATATAACCCCAAGGCTTCAAGGTTTTTTGGCCAAAGGCTCGGGTGAACTTTTTTGATCTTTCAAAAATCTTCTTTTCAAGAACTACTGGGGCAGAGAGGATGAAACTTACACGAAAGCTTTATGATTCAAATTTGTTCAAATTATGTCCCGAGGTGGAAGGATAGGACGAAACTGGATCATATTTATACATAAGAATATAAAGGAAATATCTTTAAAAAAAAATTCTCAAGAACAGTAAAGTCATGATTAGTTATATAAGTTAAATCAATATAGAAGTATTTTCAGATTGTGAATGGACGGGGCCACAACACATGCGCTCATCAAGGTACATCTTCAAAAACATTCATGGTGCAAAATGGCTGACTTCTTATGCCTTCATTATACATTGAATAGTTTAAATATTTTTCTCGAAAACAGCAAAGCCGTGTTTAGTCGTATTAATACAGAAGCATCCTGAAGTACTGATCTAGTGTAGATTCGAGATTGTTCAAATCATAAACCCTACGTATAGGGTTGGGACACAAAAGGAATCAAATTTATACATAGGAATAATTATGAAATATCTGTCAAAATATCTTTCTCAAGAACTTTACGTAAAACCATGATTAGTTTATTATTTCAAAAGCATTCTCATGTAAAGTAGATTCATGTTTGTTCAAATAATGTCTCTAGGTGATATGGAGGCACAATAGGGGATCAATGTTATTCAAATGAATATATAGAAAAACCTTTAAAATCTTCTTCTCTAGAACAGTAAGGTCCTAAATAGTCGTATCCTCAGGTAGTGTAGATTTAAATGTGTTCAAAACATGTCCCCAAGGGCTAGGATGGGGCAACAATAGAATATCAATCTTTTACACCTATCTATATATGTAAAAGCTGATTTATCACAAAAATATTGCAGCATCCTCACTTTGTGTATTAAAGATTCAAGTTCGTTCTAATCATCCCCTACCCTGGGTAGTTGTTGATCACTTACTCGGTTAAGGCTTAGCTTTTCAATAGTGAACTGCTATCTTTTTTAGAAGCCGAAATGCTCAAGTGAGCGAAGTGGCTGATGGCCCTATTGTTTATCATTATTGTAAATTATTTAAATAAATAATTTTTGTTGAAAAAAGAAGATATTTTAAATATCTATTAATAGCGTTAAATTGATAAGGGGCTCATAATAATTACACAAGACAAAAGTGGAGGATAAAGTTCAATATAAATTTTTTTTAACAAGTTTTGTTTTCAAATGCCCCATGTTTTTAGGAATATGATTCTTAAGAACATTAATAGTTGTGTTAGAGATGGATAAATTAACGTATTGTAACCTGTGTTATATGCCCTTGTAAAATATTTGTTTTGTTTATAGATCTTTTTACATCGATTACTGTTCGTTTTCTTTACCTTTTTCATTTTTTTGAATTTCAGAGCAGTTAATGTCTCTAATTTCCGCCTGTATACCTCATGTATTTTATTTCTAGAGTTCGGTAAGAATAAAACCCTTATCTTAGCATTATTATTCAACGATATCGTATTTCATAAATATTTCAGAATCCACACTTGCCATTATAAATGGGTCCACATCAATGGATGGAACTCTACTGATGTGGCGAGACAATGTTTGGGGTGCAGTTTGTCAGTCCTTTGATCTATTTACAGCCATGCTAGCTTGCAATACACTTTTTGATAACATGTAAGTTGCAGAGTGAAAACTGTACATAATTTATTTATATATCATATTTTCTAGGAGCACAACATTTTAAAAATCTTTTATATATTTTCATATCTTGCTATAAAGCTCCTTTCAGATTGATGTCAGTATCTGTATTCTTCGTTAATTCTTATTCATATCTGACCTTAGTCATGGTGTTCAACTTCCTCAAAAGGGAGGTTACAATTCGCCAAATGGAGTCACATACACCTCTTTTGTTTGTGATAAAAAAGGTAAAGGATTTGACCTTACAAAATGCAATGTCTCCATTGATCCCTGTGAGACGGAGAAGGATGCGACGCACCTATCATGTGGTGGTGAGTACATTTATGAAATATACGGATACATATTATACTGTCAACAAAATGCCACTATTTTCTGTACAGAAAGGATGCTAACAACTGATAATACTAAAATTGTTCATTCTTCATAAAGACATGATTGGCAACCAAAAGTAAAATACCTTTTAAATCTAATGATCTATTAACTCTTTAAAAACATTGTAGAGAATAAGTTTGTACTGACGTTTTTCATACTAATTGTTAGGCCATTATTTACACAATGAATTGTCGACGGATTTTTCCGTTATTTGTACAAGCTTGTTTCTTTAAAATTATAATCTTTCAGTAAATAATTATAGGGAAAATATTAATATCTCATTTGTCCATGGCATCACAATGTTTTATTTATTTATTATTTATGTTTTAGAAAAATCGCTTTTGACTTGTAACTATTCAATTTATACTTTACATTTTTATATCAGTTTGTGGTGGAGTATATACATCTCGGGTTGGACTTGTAGAACCTCCTTTACAACTCCCAGCAAACACATTGTGCTTATTTTTGTTGGCTCCATACAACTCAAAAATGATCAATGCAACATTCATTTCTTTCTCAATGAATTCAAATGATCAAACTCAAGGGAATCAAGATCCATCTATCAAATGTGACGACACCTATCTCGAGGTATGAATGCATGAGGATTCGTCTAGTTATTTCTCTACATTTTTAGCCAAATCTAAGTAATGATAGTGGCCTTGATCTTTTAATACAAGTGTATATTACTAGATCCCTTTTTACTGATTTTTTCTTAAAAATAGATTTTTGATGGCTCAGATATAGAATCACCATTGGTTGGACGATACTGTGGCAGTCGACCTCGATTCACAGTCACTTCTACAGGAAATACCTTATATCTTATTTATAAAACATCTAGCAATACCTTCACACGAGATTTCCATATTATCTACGAAGCAGAGAAGAAAGTAGAAAACCGTAAGTATATCTATCATTTCTGACAAATTAGAAATACCTTTGAAATAAACTGCATTAATGCAGTTCTCAAGTGGTTACTTCTATATTGTTAAAGGATTTTATTTTTAACTTCATATTTAATTGGCCTTCATTTATCAATGGTTTAGGGTCGCCCGCGTGGCGCAGTGGTTAGAGCGTTCGCTCTAGAGTCGCGGCGTAAGGAGTTGATCCTTACGTCGCGGGTTCGAATCCCACTGTGGGACGTGAAGACCGGTCCTTCAGATGAGACCGTATAAACCAAGGTCCCGTGTCGCAGTAGGTGCTGGCACGAAAAAGATCCCTCGCTGCTCAATGGCCGTAAGTGCCGAGTATAGGACAAAATTTGCAGCTTTCCACCGGCAAGTGGTGGCGTCTCCATATGAGTGAAAAATTCTCTAGAGGGACGTTAAACAACATACAAACAAAAAACAAAATCAATGGTTTAGGTCTTTAAATTGTTTTCCTTTAATCCCTTATGAGCCATCATTTCTTTGCATCTTTTTGTTACTGCAGATCACGCATTGGGTGGGGTAGACGGTCATTCTGCGCAGTGTGTGCCAAACAACGCATCCTGTATCAACAACAAATATACCTGCTATAGAGATCGCTACGTATGTGATAGCCCCTGGGGTTTAGAAAGTAAGTATTTCCCCCATTCCATCTATAGAAAATGTTGAAGAAGAATATCTTGATGAATGCATTAATCAATAAAAGATGAAAGAAATGTCCCTCTACAAAGTATCATTTTTCTATCAGTATTGAAAATTGCATAGTTTTTGTTGTAGAAATCAGAGTATGAAAAACTGATATATTTACAAAAGTATTTATGATTGTGATATTCAAATTATTTATGTTTCATAAATATTATTCTAAAGCACATGATCATAAAAAGAGAACTAATTTAAGGCAGTTGGTCAGCAAAACAGCTTAGTTTCATTTCGGATTTGTTCGACATTTTAATCTTTACTACGAAATCGCGTACTGCCATATTCAAACGGTCATCTGTCAGTGTGACTGCCAACCATATCTAAAGAGGATTACAAAACCAGAGTATCGGGGAAAAAAATCGTCAACGCCAACTGTGTGGTATATTGTATGAGGCATGTTCTTTCTGAAAACCTGAAACTCTCTTTTTCTTTGTCCGTATATGCACGCAAATGCCAAATGCATGGTTTTGTGATGCAATCTGACACTGACTCTAATGAGCAGAATTGTACATTAAATATTCTGAATTATCTTTCGTTACAAATTAAGCATTAAGAATTTACAGTAAACTTGTAACACATATCACGAGTTTCCATTTCCTTCATGGCATGTAAAAAAAAGTTTGCCCTTACTGTCCATGGTCTCAGGTCTGTTCTCAATGCTTTCATTTTTTTCTCTGTGATCGAGAAAATTTTTGTTTTTAGATAATTTTCGTTTCTTATCGATATAAATATATGCTCGTTTAATTCATCCGTTTTGCTGTTTTTTTTTTATTCACTGAATGTTGAACCTTTGCTTTCCTATTCAGTTATTGATCTAGGTACCGGTAAGTGTCCATTTTTAAGAACACTTACTTATAAGATCTAATTAGATCTTGATTCACTGTCTTTTCTGAAATAAATATCTTATTATTTTTTTTATTTATTATCAAATCATCTAGGAATACATTCCATTTGAATTTCCGGATAATCTGCAAAACCAGCATGGACCATCGTAAGTAAAAAAAAAAATAATCCAAGTACTTACCGTAACTGAAATGATTACTTTTATGTTGACTGGGTTTTGTATTTGAACTAGATAATTACCCTTTATGTAACAAAGTATGAAGTTTTAGATTTAAGGTTCATTTTTTAAAATTTTACAATATTTTTCTTACATATTACTGTTCACAGAATTACTTTGTGCATAATTAATGAAGAATGCTTCATGTATCGACATTACACGTACTTGTCACATGAATTACTACATGTTTTATAGCGCCACTTGTTTTGAAAGTTAGGTTTTTTAACTTCATCCAAAATTAGGTTTCGGGTCTATAAATTACAATAAATGCCTTATAATTCGCATCCCGTATGGATTTGCCATATTAAAGAGTAATTGCTCATACCCTATATACTCAAGAACTACTTAAGGAAAATAATACAAGCAAAACAATGATGCCTGGCCGGGGTAGATATTTTTGGACCTATTTTGGTTGTAAATGATGGAATATCGAATTTCTAAATTATTAAAAAATTGTAAATTTTCTTTGATGTTACAGTTTTATCATTCTGCAATCTTCTTTTAAATCTTTGCAGTATTTTATCACTCTGTGTGAAATTTAAAAAAAACAAAAACTTTGCAGTTATACATTCGTGTTATGTAAATATGAGTAAGGTTGTTAATTTCTTTAATTTCAATTAATTTTTTTTTTTGTATCATCTGTCTTTATTTAGAAGTGATTTAAATCTTGCCAAATCTCCATTGACATGTATACATCAAATTTTATAATTCCGTCTTTAATCATATTAATGAACTAAATTATTTTAAATCTAATAAAAAAAATCCAAGCAAATCTAATACATTTTCGTTTCAGTATAGAAAAAAAAACTTCACTTTAGTTCAAATTGTTCTCTTTATTTGACGTTCTTTGTAAATGACACGGATTGAAGTTTTTATTATGTTTTATCTCATTTATTTCTTTTAAATAATAATCCTCTAATGCATGCAGGAAAAGCAAAACCCTTTACTGTACATTTCAATTCGAGAGAAGGATAATAAAGTGGGCTACTTTTCAATTTTAGATTACATGTTTCTGTTTTACTTTTCAATCAAATTCTTTTCAAAATAAGGATTTAAAGAAGTTCAGTTTCACTTAATATTCATTCAAACCTTTAAAATAAATAAGGACGTAAGAAATTTTAATACAAATATATCTTTATTTACAGACACATTACCATTTCTTGTTTAACCGAGTAGATTTTATTGAATATAAGAAAAGTACGCCACTTACTATGTCTGATGTCATTCCTTCGAAAGAGAAAGGTAATTTAAACGGTTGTTTCTAGACATTCCATTGACATTTCTTTTGTACTAAGCTTGAAACAGCAAGTTAAACAAAATATACCAATACCCGATAAATATCAGTATTAGCAAAGGGTTTTTTTGTAATTTATTTATGACATAAGGAACAAGTTGTAAACTGCATCTAAGTGCATGATATATTGTTGTAAGTAAAAATAACGTAGCTGCAAACAAAAACTAAAAGAGCATTCGATATATTTTGAAGTATTGAATTCCTTATGTTGATTTTAACAAAAAAGATAATATTATTGTATTGAAGATGCATTTTAGTAAATTTTGAATTTATATCAGTGTAGAACTAAACACTGTTTGATTTTAATTCCTGTGGTTCTGGAGAATTTTGAAAAAAAAAATGTTGTGTTGATTGTTATATACTAATTATGTTTTATTTCCTTTGCAGTAGCTGGACTATTCGATCTATTTCCTACTGACAAAACCATTCCTTTATCTATCAAAGATGTTTTAAAAACTAAACTCTAGACCATTGTCCAAAATCTGCGGAATTCAAGCGTTTGCTAGACTTAGTGAATGGATAAAATTCTTTATGAATACAACATCATAATTATCTTGTTTAAATATTCAAATACAAAAAAAAATTATCATTAATATATTTTATGTATAAATACATGAAATATTTTCAAAAACCTTTAAACATACATGTTGTCTAGTTAAATTAAAACTTATAGGCAGGGCATCATTAGTTTTTGTTTGTTTGTTTTGTCAAATCGGAAGAAGAGTTAACACGGACCTCTAAAAAATCAGGGATAAGGGACAGGTGCCATGGAGGAGTAAGCATCCCCTATCGACCGGTCACACCCGCCAAATGCTTCTTGTCATGATTTGGCAAATTGAAAAATTTATAGACAAATATGCTTTTTGATGATTGTAGTTATATAGATTATTAAGAAGAGTTTTTTTGCTCAGATCAATTGTATGTAAAAGTTAAAAATAACAAACAGTGATCGATCTTAAAAAATCCATAAACAATACAAATATGTGAAGAGGGCATCAAACACGGACCCCTGGAAAGTCTAGAGGTGGGATCAGGTGCCTAGGAGGAGTAAACGTCCCCTGTCGACTGGTATGAAATATTCATATTCAATTAATTGAATTTAAATCAATGATTATTTTTGCAGATTAAGGAAGAAAATTACTATAGGATGAAACCTTCACCGTTTCTCTTAAGTGGCAAAGTCAGATCATGGTCATTATCTTTTCGTTGACATTAAGAATAAAACTGTTATTGTGATGCCTCTTTAAAGACATCAAACACTTTCCTTTTGCTTAAAAAGATGAACCACAGAGGGTCTATGACATGATACTACTAAACTGAGATAAATAATTTACTAATTAGATAATGGCTCAACCGAATTTTTCTATAATTATATTAATTTTTTTAAGGAAGTAAGCCATCAGTTAGTTGTTAGTTATTTTTATGTAACATTGAGACATGGCGCGATTAAAATATGCATATTGAGGAGAAATGATAACAATCCTTTAAAGTTGTTCAATTACGAAAAGAAAAAAAACATTCTTTAAAATCCTAACCATCAAGATATAAAAGATGTTAAAGCAATTACACTTTGAATATTGTTAAACCACTAATTTGCGCGGCGAATTATTTTAGTGATTTGGAGGTTTGAAGAGATCCAAGAATTTGTGTCAACAAATAAATAAAATTTTTCACATACATTACTACTTAACTATTCTTCATCCACTATTCCCCCCCCCCCCCCCCCCCCCAAGACCACGCAGAATTGTCCACACAAATATGTGATTTTAAACACAGGCACTTAAAAAGATGGATCCCCACCCGCCCTTTTCAATTTTTTCCATTTAAAATCTGGGACCGACACAGCTGTTTCCTATATGTGCTACATGTTATCGATACTGTCACCCTTTTGGGGAAAAAAAACTACCTGTAGTTTCAATTAATTTTTATTCAATATGAATTCATAGGATCAATGTTAACACAGGGACAAGATATAAACAAAAATAAAGTTAAAGTATACATTTCATAATCATGCATATAAATTTCCCGAAACATATTTGGAAGTCATGCAAGACAAAGAAACCTATTACAAACTCTTAAATTTAGCAATTATAAACTTTACAACGTATTATTATTTGATGATATATCAAACCTTGCAGAGATTCTAATAAAATCATTATATTCAATTCAAGATCCAAAAAATCGCTTGTTAATGTTTTATTGAAACATTTCAAAAAAGGAATTTTATTTTGGGAGAAATTCTAAAGTACATATTTAGGGTATAAAAATATATCAATGAAATTTAATTTGCATATAAGAATATAAAATAAAAGTAAAATACGACATGAACTACGGTTCATTTTCTCTCATAGTTTCTTACGGTATGGTATATACAAGTATGTTATCAACAGGAATATATTATTAGTAAATACATAATATTTCTTACTGATTTCTTGTTCAACAGAGAATCAGTTTTACACAAGGATACCGTATATCTTCCTTAAACACACAACATTACTGAAAACAACAACCCGAGGGAGTTTGATGCATGGTAGAATCGACTTCTAAAACCTATCAACAAATTATTTAATGCCTGATTAAACATCAATATTTTCGACCTGATTTTGGAGACAGTATAAATTGTCTAAAACGTCTTTAAGATTCCCTGAGAAAATTCAGCATATTGACTTGGAATACTGTAAATAGAGAGACCAACACGTAACTCTGCCAGTATTACAATTGCTGGTTATGAATCATCCATATCATTGTTACAATCACTCATTCTTTAATTTTTTTAATTTATACATATCATATTAAGGCATTAAACAACTTTTCCGAAATATTCTAATTCATTCACTTTAATTCCCAAAAATGGACAGCAAAACACCTAATTGTATAGCTAACAATATTCTCAGTTTGCAAAATAAATTGTGCGGATCTAGACATAAAAGGGGTGTCCATCTCAATGCATAATGTTCAATGGATAATTTTGGTCCGGTATTTCAGTATTTAAAGAAAAGTAATTTCTGAAACTTAAAAGGCAGTTTTCCTCAGTACTTCTTTGCAAAGAATGTGGTCTTAGTATGGGACAGTTCTATAAGTCCAATATCTACAAGAAAAAAATAATACAGGGATTAGTCAACGCAGCTCTTTATTACAAACCTTATTAGAAGTTACACTCTACATCAATATGAATTCAAAATGAAGTCATTTTAGTGCTGAATTACCTAAAATTAAACTCTGTTTTAAAATTTAACCGACCGTATGGTAAAGAACTTATTTTCAAAGTTTCAAGGTAAATATTACCAAATTTAATACATGTGAACATTAATTTGCTTAAAAATCATTCAGATATGGCTATTATATTAAGATATACACCACTTTATCATACATGTACATTTAAGATCTGAAAATTGATTGGATTGACATATATAAAATGTAACCTCTTTAGAAATATATACAATATACAATCCAAATAATCTAATAGAGAATATAAAAAAAAAAGAATGAAGAAATACATGCTTTACCTTCCTCTTCTGTTGGATAAGCCTCTGATATTTTAGGGGGTGGACTTTTCTTTTCATGGTCCAAATAAAACTCTACACAGTCATACAGGAACTGGTATTGTGTCTAGGAAATACACAAACAAGCAATATTATACAACGCATTTATCACTTCCTTATTCATTCTTCTTTGAAAGTTTCTATTTCATTTAGAAACAAACAATTTATTTCTAAAAGGTCATTTTGTATATACTGGAAAAAGAAACGCAGGGTAAACTTGTGAAGTTGTTTTATTCTATTTTTTCAAACGAATTTTCCAGTACTGTAATCAAACATTCAGACACATCTTTAGTTAACAAGTTAACCAAAATCTCATTTTATGTTGACTGATAATTCATGAGTTATTGAATCTCATATGACAGTACCCCCCAAAAGTGAAAATCAAATCACCAAGGCACCTTCGCGCATTTTTCACAGCCTTGTTTCTTCTCTGCATGGAGTTCACCAGTGCATTTATCTTTCTCATACGAATATTATGCATTCATTCCGACAATGTAGCCCTTATAATTAGCTGGTGCAGAGTCGCTTCGGCTTCCCGACGCCTTTAAGCCCTGCCGTCGAGTTAGTCCAAGAGATGATCAAATGGAGAAAAAAGATGAACTTATTGAAGGCCAGTCGAGTTGGTAAATGTGAATGTTTGACAGAAGGTCTTGACAATCTCTGGCTGCATTGGGCCGGGGGTAAACATGCTGAAAATTAGACAAACGACGCACGTGCGCACGAGTCAATAAGAACACTATGTAAAGGTGACAATCTCACAAACCAAAATTGCAGAATCGGTTTCTTTCAGTTTTTGGGTGAATGTAATGTTTATCATTGTCAACTTTATTAATAGAGATCTCAGTGTTAATGAGATGTCAATTACACGGGAGGCAGGATGAATATCCCAATCTTGACATGACGTTGTTACGCGCCAACGTCATCGTCACGGTTGGTTGGAAACCCTTCAAGTTCCTCTCTAAGGATGAAGAAGACGTTTAATGGCGTCAAAAATTCCCCACAAACTGCACAACACCCTTTTTTCCCCTTTTCTTGAGTTATACTATGCAATAGGCACACCCCATGAAACGTCCATCAGCCATACCGCGATTACAAGAAATTCAAATTGTCTGTTAATATCGAAAAACGATGTGTATACCTCAGGTGTCCGTGTTTTTGGCTTTTTACCTTTTTCCTTACATGCCGTCATACATTTCACGGTTGAGTAATTCTGAACACCGATTTCAGTGCACAGTAACCAAGATACCCCTCCGACCAGTTTTCTTACTTTTTGGTCAGACACTCAAAAAATCTTCGCATATTATGTTACCCTGCGTTTCTTTTTCCTTTCATTATATCTAGAGAGAGAGAGAGTGAGAAAGAGAGAGAGAGAGAGAGAGAGAGTCATCAACCTGCTGTGGAAAAATAAAATAATTTAATTTTGATTAATATTTAATACAAACATGTTTGTATCGTGTAACCAAACAAAATTTTTAGAGGATCATGCTTTTAAATCTACCTCATTTTCTATTAATTTCTCCCTGTTTGAGATCAGGACGTGTGTGAGGTTGTAAATATCGACATGCGTATCCCCATTTCTAATGAGCTGTATAAGATAATCCATGGCAACGAAGACACCGGATTTACCAGTTCCATTCCTGATTTTAAATGTATTCATTTCTTAAATTAACATTTAATTAGCTTGATATAATACATTCAGTGAGAAAGAAAGAGTATAAATCAGTAATTTGAATTCAAAGGTAAAAGAAAAAAATCTATGAACGTACAGGCAGTGTATGACAAGTGGTCTACTGTCATTTCCATCCTCAGAATTGGAATGTACAAGATTAATGAGATTCAAAAGATCTGAACACTCATCTCTCGTGAAATTGGAGAGAAATGATGACTGAAAGTGGTTTACAGTGTGACTCTTGGACCCCTGAAGTAAAATAGAATTAGTTTCTAATCAGCTCCATTCAATACAATATCTATACTTATAAATTAATAAATTTTGCAAAAAAAGTCCGAAACGCATGCACCAGAGTTCATAATTACTCCTCTAAGAATACACTGGGTATGAGGTTATGTCCGTAAACCATATTTAGATTTCACTCTCATAGTAATGTTCGTAACTTTAATTAAAAGTCTACTTCAATCTCAATAAACAGGCCTGAAATAGCAAAAAGAGAGTCCGGTGGTGGTTACAGTTGGGGGATCTAAGTTACTGGCAATTTTTAATGAAACTGACACTAGCAATCATCTATTTTTTCATAAAACGTCATCACTGAATTATTCAATCAATGTTTGATTTCAGTGATATAAAAGAGATAAGTTGTGATAACTGGTTAAACAGCAAAATGTGCAAATCGTTTTTCTTATTCACCGATCTTAATCTTGACGGAAATTTCTAGAACATTACAAGGCATCGAGCCCGATGTTAAAAAGAAAAACGAGGCAATTATCACTACATGAATATACAAAAAATTGGTGTAATTGGGCATGGAAATAATGGTAAAGCAATTGATAACACTATTGTTGTGAATAAATTTATATATCGAAAGACTTTAGGTAGGTTGTGTTAACAAATTTATCCGTACAATGGACATATTCACCATTGAGAACATCATGGCAACAAACCCAAAGTACAATATGTGTTTCGTAGTTATCTTGCTTACATGTAAAGAAAAAAAAATTCAGGTAATGAATATGATTTTGTTCAAATATAACTATGCTGTTACAAAAATTTGTGCTTTAATCAATACATTTCAGTGGGTTTTTTTCTGAATTGAGTCTTTCGTATAAATTACTAGGCCTACATGTATATATAAGAGCTCAGTAATTTTTACCAAAAATTATGCTGACAATTTAGCAGTTAAATGTGCATATTTGCCTCTTTTATCCTTGATGGAAATGGAATAATTATTTTTCACGATTAGTTTTTTCGAGAGAGAGAGAGAGAGAGAGAGAGAGAGAGAGAGAGAGAGAGAGAGAGATCTACTTCTGCTCAGAAATTAACTGGGGGATTTTGCACAAATTAAAGTATTTCTTCCTACTTTAAGTCTGTGATTAACTGTCAGTAGAAACTTTAATATATATATATATATATTGGAATTGTTCTGTTATTAGTGGTAAGAATTCAATTCCCCGCGATTGCACGGGATTGTTTTATAATACATTTTACCTACAATTTCTAACACTGAAAATAGAGTTCTCTCACCTTCACAATCTTTAAACATCGGAATGTACACCTGTGAACAGTTAATGTTGACAGTGTTTGCACCTTGATTTTCCCGAAGCTTCTTGTCATACCCGTCCTTGTTGGAAAGTATACTTCCTACAATTTAAATAAAAGGGGTAGAATATCACATTTAATCATTAAATATAAGTAAAAGAATTGAATTTGATACAATTCGATCAACGACAAAACATGTATGAACAAAACCATTGATCTATATGCCATGTCAGCATACAAGCAAATTATGATTTGTATGTGTGGAAAAAAAAACCTGTATGTAAATATTTGGTGTTTTTTTTCTTCATGAAACATATTTATCATATATCGATATTGGATAAAAAGAACAAGCATAATTAATGGAACTGGATTAAATAGTAAGAGAGAAAAATACCTTCTCGCTGCCTGAAACAAGACTAATAATCGATGTTACTCTTTGCTCCCACACCATCCCCCAAAAGTCATTTTGAGTCGAAATGAGTGGATATTGTGTCACAATGTAATAAGGGTAGTGACTATGTAGACCCTGATAAATACACAGTAATATATATATATATATATATATATATATATATATATATATATATATATATATATATATATATATATATATATATATATATATATATATTGAAAACATGATTGATTTACAATTAGTAGAAGTGCTGCTTTACAAATTACTTACCTCTATAACACTTGCGTTGATGTAGTCGTCCACACTGGTTACACCAGATTCCCTTAATCTGTTGTAGTCGTCTAAAAAATATAAAACGCAAAATACAGAAGATAATTTGCATGCCACTTTAATAGATAGCAAATTGATTCATTTTTATTCTTATTAACGGCTTATTCATTTGTATAAACAGTTTTAATCCAAAGGACTCACCTTTTTTTACTGAGCATGAGGAGACAAGTATTAGGAAGAATATATAGTGCTCTTTTGGAGAAGTTAATCAAATATTACTAATATTTAAAAAAACTGAAAATTATATGGCAAGACGTTTCTGTTTTTGATTTTAGTAAAAGTGACATTTACATGGCAATACGTCTCTATTTCTGTTTTTATGTCTATTCTGTGATGCTGTCCCGATGTCTGTTGGTCTCTCCTCACAGGATCTCAGTATACTCTGAACCGAAAAAAAAAATCACCATCCAGCCTTCAATTACAGTGTTTAAGCTTTAAAAAAAGAGTTTTTTTCTTGAAAAAAGTTATACACTGGTTTACCCTAAATTCTTCTTCTGGCCAATTAACATAATCACACAAACTTTCAAATGTATCTCCAAATGTACTCAAACGTATTCTATAAACAAATCAAAATAAACAAAGTAAAACTAATTGGCTCTAAATTGACATTGAAAATTTCACGCAGAGAGAATGAAGTCCCATTTAGCTATAATTACCTGTGATTACCTTCCCCTGCTTGGCTTATAGAAATTACGGAGCATCGATGCGAAATTTTATCACCTGTGTTAAATCTGAAACCAGCAATTTCATTAGTTTTATTCAGAAGCAATTCGTACTTCACCGCGCCCAACACAGAACTCTGTAGCAAATCAAAAGCTATTTTTAATGATGAATTTTTTGTGTGACCATATGATCCTGCAAGTTTTTCAAAATAGATTTGAAAGGTATTTGGTAGAAAACTTTTATTCTTCAATGACAAACAAGATTGAACATTCCTAAAGAAATACATATACTGGGACATTGGCTCCTATGCACTTCATTTTATTTCGTTTTAGACAAATTTAAAAGCAGTTTAAAATTTCATTCACTTAAAAAAACACAGGTTTATAAGCCAATGTCCACTACGAATTTACAAGGCATTTATTTTTTCATCTTTAAATTTTTGAAAAATTTAAGTTATCCGTTACAAATTAGGCCACAATTTGCAAACCTTGTTTATACAAGTACATGAATGAAAAATTCAAGAACATTTAATAAAAACGACACTAACGTTATCAGAAAATTAAATGTATTTTTAGAGAAAGAATGCCTTACTCAGAGTTGGATGCTGCCATTAGCTCCGAATATGTGAAAGTAGCATCATTTCCTGTCCCCCGTCTGTAAAGACACCTTTGTCTCTGTATGATTGTAAGTCTTAAAGTTCTCTTTTATGAAGTTATCTATAACTTTCCAAATAATTCTACATAATTTGTAATGATGTGCTCTTCAACCAACCCCGCAGCAAGAGAAAACTCTAACTGCTGCATTTTGATCCGATAGATTTTTTCCTATATTTGGTACCCAAAATCCTTTGCAAATAGACTATATTAACCATGACTGATAGTAAATCAAAGTTTCACTGTATTTACCTTAGCTAAGTATAAAGTTTTTCATTTTTGTAAGGGAACATGGGTCCCATTGTTCAACATATTATATTCCCTGTTCAACATATGTGATAAGTGAAAAAATTTACGTTAAAGGACGAAAAAGAGATAATCATAATAAGTATAATAATAATATATATTACAGAATGTATCCCTTCTTTTTAGCGAAGATAACGATGGCAGCAATAAGTATTATTATGATTATGATGATGAGCAGGAGGACGGGGACCAACCACTGTTGTTGTTGTTCTTGCTGTGATTTTGCTGAAAAAGATTGAATACGGATATGTTATGAAATTCGAACGCCATTTGTCCACTCAGCAGCTTCTTTAAGGTTCATCACATACAATAACATGTGACATATTTTCGTTTCTTTTTTTCTTTTCATTTAATTTGTAACACCAAGAATTTTGTGATAAAAGTCAACCAAACTGCCATATCTTAAATCGTACCTTGCAGATATCTAAACTCATTTATCAATACATTTTGTTTATAAAATGATATCTTCTTACTTATAATCAAAACTTTACTTCTAAAGAAAATAAGATAGATAACGATGTACGCAAGGTAACAATGATAACTTGAAAATCTCACCTCGTATGGCAACACATACTTCATTTACTTCATCAATTTCTGAGTACAGTGGACAATAACACACTTGGTTCTTAGCATGGCAATAAGAAGTCTTGCATTGTTCATTTACACTACATGAAGAGTTCAAACTTTTCCCTTTCAAAGATAAAAAATCATGGATGTTTTCAATCAGTTATACTTCGGAAAAAATGATCACTGTTACAAAGTCTTGTGCACATAATTTATACTACGTAATTATGGAATTGACCAGGAAACATAAAAATGTATGTTATATCAGAAAGCCTCATTTCCAAACTTGTAGTTTCATCTTTTAAATTTGAGGTATGCAAAACAATGTGACTACCACTCCGAAAATATAATAAAGTTTTTTCTTAAACCTAAAACTTTTAATAAAAAAAAAAGAATTCCGACCAAAAAACAAACGCACAAACAAAGCCTATCCTAATAAACAAGAAAAAACGTCTTGATTTATTTTTGAGTTTCATGGAAATCTATCAAGCGTTTATACGTTATTGATGTACAGCACCTTTATCAATATACAGGTATGTGTATAAAGGTTTGATTTTTTTTAACATGCTTAGTCAATTGTCTTTATACAGTATATCTTTTTTTTTATCGGGGACTGTAGTATAATTCTCAAATAAATAAAGTAAAACGCCACTTGCATCCTATTTTGATTTTCATCACCTTCGCTTTCTTGATCTATGTGAGTATAAACATGATCTATATACTTTCGTTTAACCTGAATGAACAGTCTTTTTTTAAATAAACGTCATGCAGTCAGGCATTCTTTGTATTTTTTTAAGTTTAACTTAACATTGAAAAAAAAAAACTTACGTTCCAAACAAGTGGCACTATCAAACATGTAATAATCTTTATCACAAGTACATATGTTTCTGATACAGGAGGCATTGTTTGCTACACACTGCACAGAGTGACTACAGCGTTCCCCCAGTGCGTGAGCTGAAATAAGAGAATAATGTAAACAATGATAACTCATTAAGTTTTACAGTAAAATTCTTAAGATTTAAACTTTACGTTTAGAAAATATTCCTGTAACCGTAGAATCTATTAAGTTCTGTATTAAACACTACTAAAAATTTCATCTGCGATTACAAATAAACTCACGATCTTCCACACTCTTCTCTGTTTCGTAGATAATCTGGAAATCGTGTTTTGATGTATTTCTTGATGTTTTATAAATAAATAATAAGCTATTTCTTGTAGAAGTGACAGTGAATCGTGGTCGACTGCCACAATAGCGGCCGATAAAAGGCGCATTTGCATCTGGACCATCAAATATCTAAAAATAAAATGTAAATTTCAAATAAAATTCATGTGGTTAGCCTGTAATATGAAGAACTTTAACATTATCTTGGTTTCTTAAAAATTGAGGAAAAGACTATTGGGGAATTTTCTTGCATTAATACCTCTATATATGTATCATCGCATGGAATTAGAGATGAAGATCGTCTTCTTCGAAACTGATCAATTGAATTTAATGAGAAAGAAATGAATGTGGCGTTGATCGTTTTCGAGTTGAATGGTTTCAATAAATAAAAGCACAATGTGTTTGCCGGGACTTGTAGAGGTGGCTCCACTAGTCCAAACTGAGACTTGTATACACCGCCACAGACTGTAATATTAAATATACAGAGTAGTCTGCCATTATCACATAACACATACATGTATATTCACAAGTAAAAATATTGTAAATGTATTGATATGTTTCGGTAAGAATAGCTGAGAAAATATTGTCCAAAAGGGACAAAAGTAGACATCAATAGGTCACCTGAATACTTTAGCTTTTTGTTACAACTGATAGATTAATGAATATAAAGATAACGGACAGTATTCAAGCTCAAAGTCCATTTAGACAATAGATATCAAGAGCAGAGCAAACATGGACCTCCAAAAACATCAGAGGTGGGATCAGGTGCCATAAAAGAGTGAGCATTCCCTGCCGACCGGTCACAGCCGCAGTGTGCTCCTTGTCATGATCGGGAAAACGGAAAAATCCGTCTATGATTCAGTGTGTAAATTATGGCCTAACAATTAGTATGAGAAACGTAAGCCAGCATTTGACGTAATGATAGGCTGCATTTGCTGACAAGGTCATAATATCGACCTTAAAACTTGCGAAATAATGACTTCAAACAGTGGAAACCAGCTGGGGGGGGGGGTAACCAAAAATCACTGCTATCATTTTATACTCTCCATTTTAATGTAAAATGAGGTACAACTGGTCATTTTAACAGTTGTCAAACTACCTTTCATGCACAATAAATTAAGTTATTTTCATAGACACGTGTTTTGTTTTTTTTTTTTTTGCATATTTTATGTACATTTTACTCACCACCACAGGATAATTGCACTGCATCCTTTTCTGTGTCACATGGTTCTATTGAGACGTTACATTTTGTGAGGTCAAATCTCTTACTTTTTTTATCACATACGAAGGACTTATATGCAACTCCATTTGGCGATTTGTAACCTCCTTGTTGAGCAAGATGAACACCATGTCTAGGTAAGATATAGATAGAATACTAGCATTGACTATTATCAGTAATATCAAATTGAAAGAAGGTTCTAAATAAGAATAAAAAAAATTTGACTGTTAGAGTTTGAAAAATTAACATGTATTCCATTTATGCATAGTGATATGTCTCTAGCAAGATCAACGTTTCTAGAATACAAAAATCATTATAAAGTTTTCCTATGCAACTTACATATCATCACCGAAAAGTGTATTGCATGCTAGCATAGCTGTAAACAGATCAAAGGGCTGACAAACCGCTCCCCATATATTGTCTCGCCACATCAGTATGGTTCCATTCATTGGTGTAGACCCATTTGTTATGGCGAGAGGAGATTCTGAAACATACAATGTATGCAAAAAAAAGTATGTCGAAAATTTTACCTATGTCATAAAAGACGTTTTAATTGATGAATATTCAACAAGAGATTTTCTGCTGTTCAGCAACACATTCTGTTTTGTTCTTCGAAAAGCAGAGATATTATCTAACATGAATTCAAATATCTTAACTGGATTTGACAAAAACATATGCAAAAAATATTTGTCGGGGAAAAGAGAATAAAAAGACAAAAACACCATCCGGAAATTCTATTATTATATATATTTTTTTTTCCTTTTCGTTATCTACATATACCACTACAAATATAATACCTTAATCAACTTTTTACTATGAATATAATTATGCAATCCTAATAATTAATTTTAGTCTTATTCCTAGAACGTTGTGTTTTGTTGTATTCAGAAGAGAAAAGCAATTAAAAAAATAGATTATCAAGATTGTTGTTGTTGTTGTTATGTTGTTTAACGTCCCTCTAGAGAATTTTTCACTCATATGGAGACGCCACCACTTGCCGGTGGAGAGCTGCAAATTTTGTCCTATACTCGGCACTTACGGCCATTGAGCAGTGAGGGATCTTTTTCGTGCCAGCACCTACTGCGACACGGGACCTCGGTTTATACGGTCTCATCCGAAGGACCAGTCTCCATGTCCCACAGTGGGATTCGAACCCGCGACGTAAGGATCAACTCCTTATTCCGCGACTCTAGAGCAGATGCTCTAACCACTGCGCGACGCGGGTGACTTTTTAAAACGTATATTCACTTTAAAATATACTATAGGGAATAAAGTTCTGCTTTATTTAATCTTTTTGCTATTCTATTCTATTATTTAATACTATAGTATCTTCAATTTGAAATATTTCATACATTTGTATCCTGCTTTGTACAATTTGAGCCCTTAAAATTTGAAATAATTATTCAAACAATTAAAAGCCTTTTAGATCCGGAAAAAATATATTAATTAAAACATGTAAAGTATGACACATAATGCAAATGGCCAGGGTGATAAATGGTAACAAATGACTCGTATAAGGAGCAGTGAAAATGTCAGGAAAAAACACACTACCTGAGCAAATTGTACCATCTCCAAAAGAACCCCTATTACAAGTACATGAATAAGATCCATTCGTATTTTTGCATGTTTGAAGAGAACTTTTGCATAAAAATTTGCATTCATCAATATCTGTAAATAAAAAATTATAAAAAGCTTCTTCTGTAAAGAAATCAGGTTTAAGTACACTACACCTTAAGTAAACAAGCATCACAAAGATAACGCTCTCTTATTATTATAACTTTCTGATACCAGAGAGGTTAGGAAATCAACAACAAATTGTATTTTAAATACGAACACTGATATTTGGCATTATTACCCCTGCAACCTATTCCAACTCTTGTATATCCATCCCTACATAAACAACGACCTCCCATGCAGACCTCTCCTTGTTTAAGGCATGCATCATTTTCTGATTTAAAACAGTCACATTTTTCACCAAACCAATTTGAACTGCAGTTGCATTGATCTTGGTGGCCATATGAGAGAGTATTTGTACGGTTGCATTTGGACATTTTTTCACAATCCGATCCATAATACCACTGTGAACAAGCACCTGTAGAGAATAAAAGTCATTTTAAATAAAATGTTTGGCAAATAATTATTTCAGTTCTGGGCCACTGTAATTAGGTTTAATAATATGCCCGGTATAAAGGAATAATGGTATAAATATTTAAAACGAGATGGAAATGTATTACTCACTAAATTACCAATATCTTATATAAACATTTCCACACTTTAAAAAAAATACAAAATTAAAACTTTTGATAAGAAATAAAGTTTCCTTCATTTATGAAACCTTTTCCTCAAAGAAGATCAAAGAAGGGATTTCATAGAGGTGGACAATTTCTGAAAGACATAACTGAGAATGAGAATAAGGGTACCGCGTTATTGAATGTCAACAAAAAAAAAAGAAACAACAAATGACAAGTAAAAGGATTTTGAAATTTGATTTTAAGCATGAGAGTTAGGGAAAAATAGATTTCTCAATTAAAGAGAGAAATGGAAAAAAGTGAAAGACTGCAGATCACAAGACAATGATAATGGACTTTTAGATCGATTTTTTTCAAGAGCACAATACATTAAGGAAATGGAAAAGTGTGAAGTTGAATAAAAAGTACTTTCCTTAACTATTCAATATAGGAAAAGATATTTAAAACAATTTGACTCACAAGAATCAGTATCTAATCACATCACAAATTCAAAGCTTCAGCATATGTACATGTATATAGAGACAAAAAAGGGAAAGTTTTAACACATTGGTCAAAAAAGAAATGTCTAACATGAAATAAATATAGCAGATATTAGCTTATTTATTTTATCATTTATGAATAAAATAAAGTATTATTATGAAATAAAATGAGATAAGGAAGAGTATCCAAGCTCAAAACTTTATTCAAACAAACATTCAAACAAAAGTCCATTCAATATATACTTTTCATAACTGTCTGAAGAGCCAACATGGCTGAAAGCGCTAACAGTAAAGATTTTATTTAATTTGGACTGTAGCATTCTGTTTTCATTTATTTAAGTATATATATAAAATATATACACTAGACAAAATTGCTAACGCACCACCTAAATAAATTGATATATTTCTTTTCAAAACTTGTTAATGATGTTTTTGAAAAATAATTATGTTAATTTAATGAAAAATGAGGCATTTAAATGTCTTAACTGATAAATAACAACAATGTTTACTGAAGCGTAACCATTTCAATGAAAAAAATAAAATCGTGTCCATACTCTTTTGGTGGAATAAATTTCTATTTTTTTCTTGATGGCAGTGTTCTCTATGTTTGTACTAATTAAAAACTCAGAATAAAAGTTACACAGTATGCGGCGTTTGTTCCTAGAAGAGCGTGCTAAGGTAGTCAGTATGGTTTTGCAGGGGGTTCCTTTGGAGAAATTTGTGAAAAATTAAAACAATTAAAAGATCATTCATTCCCCTAATGAAAAATTGTTGCAAATGAATCAACAATCATAAAATGTTTACTATAGATATTTACGGCATTAAATAAGCACCACACAATAATTTCAAGATTGTTCCACAAAATTGGGGCAACCGGAAGTTGGGTGGATTTTGAAGGAACACCAAGGCACTGGATGACTACTAAGAGATATGGTAGTCAATAAGGGTATATTATTTGATTTTTAAGTGGGAGACTGTTTCCCGTCGCAACCTCAAGAACCACCATCGGTAATCACCAACTTCATATCTTGGCAAAAACGGTGCGCAGTGCACGTCGGGAAATTGGTTTTCGGGCAAGAAGGTCCTTTAAGGGTCTTATCATGACTAGAAGGCATTTCTCAATCCAACTGTTTTGGAAAAGATGGCATATTTTATATACTAGTACCAATCAGGCAAATGATCAATTCACAAATAAGAATAACAAGTGGTGCGTTAGCAATTTTGTCTAGTATATATATATATATATATATATATATATATATATATATATATATATATATATATATATATATATATATATATATAAATTTCTATGTACATGTATTATAAAACATGAAGAAAAAAAAATTTACCACATTTCTTAGCCGTTATGGCTATGTCGTCTATAAGAACAGGCAAATTATTGTAGACGTAAACAATGAAATGAATCTGCAAAAACAAAACGGAAAACATGGCTTTTTATGCAATAATAAATATATTTCGGTAAAAGATCATAATTTCAATTTAATCTCTAAGCTTATTGAAATGCATGGATACCTTGATCCTTGAAGATGCCCCTACGGAGACACTGGCAGTGGACCAATCTCCTCCTTGAAACAGCCTATTACTCATCAACTGTTCATCCTTTATTACCTGAATTCGAAGCATTTGCTTCGTGGGATCGCGTGTAAAGTATTTTACTCGAAGACAGCTATCACTTTCTACAAGAATCGGTTAGTAATATTCAAAAGGAGTCTCTTGTCTGTATTTTGAAAAATTGATACATTTCAAACTTTTATTTAAGCTTAAAAATCAAAGAATGTAACACTTACTCAGAGATATATTTTTGAGAGTAAATGAATACATGGTGCTCTCGGGGATGAGTCTGGTCTGAAGGTAGCGGTTATTAGTCGGATGATAGATATCACTTATCGAGTGTGTTCTGTCCTGGAAAAAAAGTCTGAAATTTTAACTATTGGTAAATATCAGAGTTTCAATCTTTTCCTTGTATCCATCATGTAACATTTATGCCGAACTTTTAAACAAACAACATGCTTAAGCTTTTTCTTTTATATCGACTTTGACTTTTATTTTTCTGTAAAAAAATCAGGTAATATGCATAATATTTCTGTTTCATGTTCAGATTAATAAGCAATATGATCAGACCTAACCTCTTCGATCTCCCACAGCATTGGCGGCAATTTGATTTTGCATCGGTTGACACTGTCTGCCAAATCAAATGCACAGAAATATGTGATGTCATTGGAACCTACAACAGTTCCATTGGTTACGTCAAACTACCAAAATATTTACAGCTTACATTTTTGTCTATTTCTTTTATCCGATTTCCAAATTTATAATATATCCAAATTCATATTTTAATATGAAATTTTAAAACTCCGCGTATCATTGCGTAACGTTACTATGTACCTACTGTTGTTTATTCTGTAAAGCTTCTGAAGATAGAATGAAAGGCCTAAAGCTTTGCTGAGGTTTTTCGTGTTTTTCTTCTTTATTTTAAGTATTTTAATCTGACCACTGAGACTTTTTTTTGGATAATATATATATATATATATATATATATATATATATATATATATATATATATATATATATATATATATAAAGCATTAAAAATGAAAAACGACACAAACTATTAATAATTGCCAAATTTTCGGGACGACCTGTCCCTTCCTCAGGACAAAAAAAAAGTTGAGAAGTCATAAAAACAAAGGAAATAGAGAAACAAAAACAACTAGCACTACTACTCAACTACCAAACACTAAATATTTAAAGTGTTACATGTTTAATTTGAAGTTTATAAACAGTTGTGATCAAAGAAATCCGGAGCGCTATGAATTGCGTCCGGTCTATCGGGTGTACTCTGGTGAAGTGCCATTTACATAATTGAACTAATTAATTATCGCTAATAATTATGACCAAGCAGTAAATCGTACATTGTCTTATTCTCTCAAAATAGCGTAACTATACATGACAAAAAAAAAATTAAAGAAAGATAATATGGAAGGGCAATTTTAAAATATGAATTTGGATATATTATAAATTTGGAAATCGGATAAAAGAAATAAACAAAAATGTAAGCTGTAAATATTTGGGTAGGTTGTTCCAGAATTGCTAATGCGAATTAACGGTAAAGTGTACACTATATAGAGAGAATGAACTTGTTTGTTACAATCAGGGATTGGGTTTCGTTCACGTTCATCCTGGTGGAGTCATTTAGTTTGTTAATACCATTAGGGCGGAATGACTTCAGTCTGTGCATCCAGAACTTTCCCCTGCCTTTTTCTCTGAGCGTCTGTCCATCTTGGATTATGGTCACTAACCACTACTGTCATGTCCTTTCATTTGTGACCTTCAAGGTTGAAATGTTTCCCAACGGGTTCATTGAGTTTTTTGGTCCTAATGGTAGAACGGTGATTATTGACTCTTCTGCGGAGATCTCCTGTTTCACCAACATACTGTTTGGAGCAAACTTTGCAACTGATGAGATAAATGCAGTTGTCTGTTTGACAGGACAAATTCCCTAGTATTTTTCAGCTGCGGCCTGTAACGGGGCTGTTAAAGCTGTCTGTGTCAGAGCTGTGCTTACAGATAAGACATCTTCTGTCAGAGCAAGTTTTAAAGCCCCCGTTAAGTAATGGATTGTCCAATCTGGTTCTTACTACCATGTCCTTTAGGTTCCTCGGGCGTCTGTATGCAGCCAATGGCTGTCTATCGGCCCAAAAGTGACTGGGAACCTGCACCGGGTAAATGATGAGCCCTTGAGTCATAAATTGACGCCGTTAGGTCAGACATAGAGAAACTCCTTTCAATGCCAGACAAGGCTCCCGACAATTTGAGTAAGGAAGAAAGATCCGCCTTACAATCATTAAAGAATCGGGATGACATTGTAATCAAGAAAGCAGACAAAGGGTCCACAGTAATAGTACTTGATAAAGAGACGTACATGGCAGAGGTCCATAGACAACTCTCAGACTAACGTTTCTATAAAAAAAAACTGGACTCTGACCCAACTAAAGAATTCTCCACCGCCATCACCAAAACTCTTGACGAAATGTTTGAGAAAAAATGAGATTGGTATAAACGTCTATGAGACACTCAATCCTATTGACTGTAGACCAGGACAATTTTATCTCCTTCTTAAGATACACAAAGAAGGTATGCCAGGACGCCCTATAGTTAGCGCTATTGGACACCCCACGGAGAAAGTTTCTGAATACATTGATTTACATCTCCGTCCACACGTAGAGAATTTGCCATCCTATCTCAAGGACACCACGGACTACATTAACAAGACGCCCTCTACTGGCCTTCCAGATCATACCCTTCTCTTGACTATGGACGTCACATCTTTGTACACCAATATTCCGCACGATGAGGGTATCGAAGCCTGTAGAGAAGTCTGGGATAGAAGATCCATACAAATTCCTTCTACCGAGTCCCTTGCCAAGCTCCTTGAACATGTTCTCAAGTATAACAACTTCCTGTTTAATGGAGAACATTACCTGCAGGTTAATGGCACTGCTATGGGTACGAAATTGGCACCATCTTATGCCA